AGTTAAAGTCCATACAGAGATGTCTTGAAAGAAACATCTTATGATCTGCTTCCAAAACAATCAGCCATGGACAACCCCATGGAACAGGGTTCTATTCTGACACACAAAGAGTGGCCATGAATCAGAATCCATTTGACAGCAACTTTTTTTTTTTCCCCAGTACTTGAGAGAATCTTTGGCAGAAAGTGGCCTCCACATTCTCTTTTTATTGGTTTAATTCTGTCTGTAACCACAATTTATAGCATTTCATACCTTCCAGTAACCATAGACAGTTATATTACTTCCCTTAATAAGCTAAGGAAATCAGCTTACATATTTTTTAAGCAATAAATATTTGTAATTGTTTGTGATCCCCTTTTTCATTAATTTATCAGATTACCAAAGTTGTAATAAAATGATAATATCCAATGTTTGGACTCAATCTCACTGTGATGCTGGGAGTGTAAATTCACCCAACCTTGATACATTGCAGAAGTCAATACATCAAGAGTCTTAAAAATATGTACCCTGCCTGCTACAGCAATGGTACCTCAAGAAATTTAGCCTGACGATATAATCAGTTATATTCACAAAGATCTACATGTGAAAATGTCCTTGTAGCCTTATTTGTGATAGTGAAAAAAGTGCAAACCATATAATGTCAAAAATAAGAGATGTTTTTATTATAGTATATCTATATAATGAGATACTCTGTTAATACAAATGATAGTATAAAGCATATTTATTGATATGGAAAATATCTGTGTTTTTGTGTGTGTGGAGATACAGGATGTAATTAATACCACATCAACTTATGAAGGAGAAGTTTGCCCAACTCTTCTATACTTGGAAGAAGGGTGGTTTTGACCCTTATATCCAACTCCCTCAGGTCTTCCCCATGGTGAAGAGAGTGGTTCAATGGTTAGAGAGATTAGGAAAAAAGCATATGTGTGCTCTGGGTTCAGATTCTCAAATCCCATGCTTATAATGACACCATTGTTCTATCACTTCTGCTTCCACAAGTAAGCACATTGGAGTCAAGGCCCAGGCCGTGGGACTGGAGAGGCATTAAGCACCCTGCCCTGGGCTGCCTGAGTAAGTGAGTGTTCTATAGCCCAATTCACCCTACAGGCAGTACCTGGATCTGAATGTGAAGGCTGAGAGGAAAGGAAGCCCCTTTGACTCCTGGTCCATGCTATGTTCTTCAAACTAGAAGAAAGCACATACTCTATGTGTTGTTAGCTGCTATCTAGTGTGCTCTAACTCGTGGTGACCCCATGTGAACAGAACAAAACCTTGCTCAACTCTGTGTCATCTTCACAACTGCTGCTATCTTCAAATCCACTGTTGTACTCGCTGTTTGTTTTGCATGCCTTCTAATTTGGGGGGGGGGGGTCATCTTTCAGCACTGCTGTGATCTACAAAGTGTGCATTGCTAATTTTTTTTTTTTTTTTAATTGTAATTCTTCAGGCCTTTCTTTCCAGTTTTCCTTAGTCTGGAAGCTCCGGTGAAACTGGAAGCTCCATCATGGATGAATGTTCTGGTATCGGTGGTATAGCTTCCAGCATAACAGCACCACGCAAGCCACCATGTCATACAAAACTGACAGACGGTGGTGGAGATATCACACTTACATGCCCATTTCCCTCTTCATCTTTCTATTTGATTCAAAAGTCACAGAGGAAAATATAATCGATGTGTAACCTCAAATTCTAACATATGCCTTATTATGTCCCCATTTTGTTTATGTGAATATACACATAAAGAAATTCTGGAAGATACACACTTAAAAGGAGCTCTGGTAGCATAGTGCCTAAGGCACTTGACTGCTAACCAGAAGGCTGGCGGTTCAAACCCACCAGCCACTCCTCGGAAGGAAGGTTGGGCAATCCTACTTCTGTAGTGATGCTGCCTTTGAAACCCAAGGAGGGGTCGCTATGTGTAGGGGTCGACTCGACGGCATATAACAACAACTATTACACTTAAATGTAATAGTGGTCGTCTTTGGGTGATGACATCACCTGCATACATATGTTTCCCAAATATTCTCTTACTACATGATAATTATTATTTTATTTATACCCTTAAAAGAGAAATAAAATTCCCTTTTGAGCCTGTTTCCTATCACTGCTCTTTTTTTTTTTTTTTTTTTAGTTTTATCTTTCCTAATGAGAAGGAACTCTGGTGGCATAGTGCCTAAGGCATTTGGCTGCTAACCAGAAGGCTGACAGTTCAAACCCACCAGCTATTCCTCAGAAGGAAGACTGGGCAATCTACTTCCATAGAGATACTGCCTCAGAAATCCAAGGAGGGGTCACTATGAGTCAGAATCAACTCCATGGCAGAGTCCTCCCCACCTCCAAAGGGAAAGAAGGTGTGAAAAAGGAAGCAAAATAGGGCTATAGGGTTTATGAAGTATCTCATAAAACAGGCAAGGCATTAGAAGCCTAGATACTTTTATCCAGCTCACTTCACAAGAGTTAAAGATTTTCATTCAAATTTTTCAAATGGTAAAGTTGAAAATGGGAAGGTTTAGTAACTTCAAAAGACCTGACAGCTAGTAAATAGTTAATTCAGAATGCCAAGCTCAATATGACCTGCTCTCAAACCCAAGCCCTACCTACCCAAATATGCTTTGCTCATTGAGTTAGAAATAAATATGCACTAAATAATGTAAGGATCTCTGGTGGCACAGTGTTAAAGCATTTGGCTGCTAGCCAAAAGGTCAACAGTTTGAACCCACCAGTTGCTCTGCAGGAGAAAGAGGAGGTGATGTGCTTTTATAAAAATGGAAACCCAATGGGGCAGTTCCACTCTGTCCTACAGGTTGCTAGGGGTGAGAATCAACTCGATGGCAGTGGATTTATTTGTTAATGCATTGTTTTTATTTTTGTTTTGTTTTGTTTTGCTTTTAAAACAATGGTGTGGCCAAATGGATATCATAAAACCCATATACTAAAAGTAGGCCCAGAGTCATAGTGAACATGTTGTCATTTTGCCTACAGTTCTACTCAAACCTTAGAAAGCTAGATGCAAAAAAGTAAATAAATAAATAAAAAGGAGGAAGGGGGTTTTCTGGAGTCCATGAATGTTACAAATGGCATAAGTACTCAGCTGCTAACCAAAATGTTGGAGGTTTGAGTCCATCCAGATATACCTCAGAAGAAAGGGCTGGCAATCTACTTCTGTAAAATCAGCCATTGAAAGCACTAAGGAACACAATTTTACTCTGATGCCCATAAGTGGCCATGAGTCAAAATTGATTTTTCTGACAATTGGTTTTTGATTAGGGTAGCTTCTAAAAACAAAAAGCCCCAAAAGTGGCACATGCAGGCTTGGCATCCAGGGGAGAGAGAGATTAAGAAAAAAAAAAAAAAATGTTAAACAAGCCCTGAGTCTCATGAGGCAGTACCATCTGAGGACACTGGGCACAGGGACAGCAACCAAAACCTCTAATCAAATCAGCCTGTAAGTATGGCTATATCCAAGGGGAGTACAATAATTGATTTTCATAATGACAATCCTGAGCCATCAAGAAAAGATTATATTTTATGTTCAGAATTCTATGTTTAAGAAAGCAAGGACGCATGTAATCCATTGGAAAAAGGTTTTTATTTCAAATAGTTAAAAATTCTTGAAAAGATTTTTAGTGCTTAGAGGGATAAGTGACATTTATCTGGAAAGTTCACCTATATGAAAAAATGTCTTCTCTGAATATTCTAGGTCAATGAGGTGGTGCATTCTTATTCATTTAAGCTTGTATCACTTCTCCTTTGTTTACATTTCATTGTCTAATGTTCTCAAACCTTTCAAAGTTCCTAATGCCCAAGTCATGGATTATAAACTTCTTGAGGCTAAGGATTCTGACATCCTTTCTTAGATACTTTATATACCTGTGGTTCTTGGCATTTTTTCTGCCATGAAACAAAAGATGATCTGACATTCATAAAAATGACCAATTCCCAGAGTACACACAAACTTTGACAATTCCCTCCAGACATTTTTAAAAACTGTGAATTGTCAATGAATCTTCAATGGCCTAGAAAGTTTGTGCAAATTAATTATTAATTAATTCAAGCATTCACTTTTGAATATACCCATGTTGTTGTCGTTATGTGCCCTTGAGTCAGACCTGACTCATAGCAACCCTTCCTTGGGTTTCTGAGGCAGTATCACTGTGGAAGTAGATTGCCCAACCTTCCTTTCAAGGAGTGGCTGGTGGGTTTGAACCACCAGCCTTCTGGTTAGTTGTCAAGTGCCTTGGGCACTACGTTACCAGAGCTCCTGAAAACACCCATAGGGAAAAAAAAAAAAAAAAAAAAGCTATCTATTTTTTTTTTTTCCTATGAAAATACCCATAGGAAAAAATAAATAGCCGTTTTTTTTTTTTTTTTTTTTTTTTTTTCTGAAAGAAAAGCTTATATTTAACAAGGGTCATTTTCATTAAGAATTCTATTTTCCAAGTAATGATAATGCTGTAAACACACAAGGTTTGTCTTTGCCTGCCTTCTAGCCTCATTGCTTAATACTTCTCCTTTATGTATCTTTTGTCCCTATACATACCACCTTACTTTTTTTCCGAGTGCAATGAAGAGATCCTTGGTGCCATTTCACATGCTATTTCCTCTGCATGAAATAACATTTCCAACCTCCATACTTTCTTGCCTAGTTCAAAAGCTCTGTTCCAGTGATATCACTCATAAGAAGCTTTTCATTTTCATAACAGTCTCAGGTTGGGTATTGCCATCATTCTATTTTAAAGAAGAGAAGACAACTTTCAAAGGCTATGCTACTCACTCTAGGTCATACCCTGGGTATCAGAGCTAGGACTGATATATCATGAAACTTACCTTACCTATGTTTTTCTCTATTGCACAGTGAACATCTGTAACTACAGCCACTTTCTTGGGAAATAACCCTATTTTGATATTCTAAAGTTAGAGTACCTGGCACACTGTGGTCACAATGAGATGTGACCTCATGGACCACTCAGAGGGGCAGGGGCAGGGATCAGCCTTACCTGGTGTGTTGAGCAGGCGGGACTTCCTGCAGTGGTAGGCTACCTCCTGCTCACAGTGGTCAGAGCCATCGATCACAGCCTCCAATTGCTCCATGCTGCTACTGTAATCTAGGACCATGAAGTAGGGCTTCTCAGGGTCTGCACCCTGCACGTGTGTCAGCTTCATATTTTTGTGTGGAATCGATGTCCAGATTTTATCCTCTGCCATGACAACACAATCCAAGGAAAGAGATGTTAAAAAGGAAGAGTGAGAATACCATGTAAACAGTGTTACTGGTCATGCAACATGCAGTAATTAATCACCACCTGTGTACTCTAATCATGCAAGGAATATGACCAGACACTTTTCTTATTCATTTGCTCATAGAGCTCATTCCAAAGCTGAACAGTATAGGGTTAATAATATTAAGCATTAACTTTTTGAACTTTCCACAGGCTTTATGCTATGCATTTGACACTGATTATTTCATTTAACACAAATTTTTTATTTGTCATAGTGTGGTAGTTTGCCTGTTGCTATACTTCTGGAAACCATGCAAGTGGTATTTCAAATAGTAGCAAGGTCACCCATGATGGACAAGTTTCACTGTAGCTTCTAGCTAAGACAAAGAAGAAAGACCTGGTGACTTCCTTCTGAAAATTAGTCAATAAAAACTTTTTTTAACACAACAGAACATTGTCTGATATAATGCTGGAAGATGAGCCCCCAGGTTGGAAGGCACTTACTGTGGCCAAAACAGTGGACTTGAGCATATCAACAATGGTGAAGATGGATTATGATCTGGCAAAATTTTTTCTATTGCACATGTGGTCTCCATGAGTCAGAGCTAACTTGACATCAATTAACAACAACAATGTAATTTAAAATGGACTATGTGAAAATTGAAAGGGAGTAAATAATCCTGTGTCAGAGATGAGGAAAGTAAGACAGGAGGATGAGGGAGCTCACCAAAGATCAGTTAGTTAGTAAGTGACTAAGTGAGAATTTGAACCCAAAATATGTGATTCCAAACCATCATGCCTTTGGGCTACAAGGCAGCTATTGACACACACCCTCACAAGTGAAAGAAGAACAGATAATGTTCTTAGCAAATCATGAGTCATGCATTGAAGATAAGACATAACTGTTGAAAGAATTTGTAAAATATACATCATTTACAAGGTTGAGATTGTGCAATCCACACTACACATTTGATGCATTCTATTGCATGTTTTATTTATTTTAAATTTAGTCTCCACCCTACCTCTCTTTGCCAAAAATATTAGAAGAACCCTATAATAAGAGAATACACAGAGATGAGGACCTTTAAATCAAGGGAAGAACATGTTTTGCCTAACTCAAGGAAAAATGCTAGGGATAAAGGAAAAAGATTGATGTTTTAGAGCTTGAGAGATCGGTATATCAACCTATTTTTGCCACCAACAAATTTGGACAAGTTCCTTTACTTCTATAAGACTCAATTTTAACATCTGTAAAAAGAAAATAAAAGAACAACAGCAGTTTGCAATGCTAGTAATATGAGATAGCAACCAAAAGTATGAAGCTGCAAGGCACTACTTGGAATGCATCAGGCACTTAGTGATAATAACCTAATCTAAAATATTTACTGCAATTGGGCATGAAGTCTTACTGTGAACATCCTCACAAAAGCAAAAGAGGAAATAGACTTGTAAAGTTTTTGTTATCTGACAATCATGCCCACATAATAACATCATTATTCTTAATAGATCTCAGAGTTTAAAAAGAACTTAGCATAGAAATCATGTGTTTTTTTTTCTTTCCACAAACCTCTTAACTATAAAAATGGGGAAACCAAGACCCAGGAAGTAAAGAAATAACCCAAGGATTATATACTATACAGTCACAATGAAGCACATATAATGAACACAATTAGTACTACTACAAAGCAAGATCATGGATGTCAGCATAAGTTAGTTGAGAAAGAAAAGTGTTGGTCACTTTTGTTCTTGTTGTTAGGTGCCATCAAGCCAGCTCCAATTCATAGTGACCCTATGTATCACAGAAAAAAAAAAAAAAAAAACAACACTGCGTGGTCCTGTGTCAGCCTCACAATCCTTGTTATAAGTGAGCCCATTGTTGCAGCCACTGTGTTAATCCATCTTATTGAGAGCCTTCCCCTTATTCATTGACCCTCCACTTTACCAAGCATGATATCTTTCTCCAGGGAATTTTCCCTTCTGACAACATGACCAAACTAAGTGAGAGGAAGTCTGGCCATTCTCACTTCCAAGGGACATACAGTTGCACTTTTCCAGGACAGATTTCATAGTTCCTCTGGCAGTCTATGGTGCTTTCAGTATTCTTTGCCAGCACCACAACTCAAAAGCATCAACTCTTCTTCAGTCTTCCTTATTTATTGCCCAGCTTTCATGTGTATATCAAGTGATTGAAGATACAATTGCTTGGGTTAGGTGCACCTTAGACTTCAAAGAGACATCTTTGCTCTTCAACACTTTAAAAAGGTCTTTTGCAGCAGATTTTCCCAGTGCAATATGTCATCTGATTTCTTGACTGCTGCTTCCATCGGTGTTTATTGTAGAACTAAGTGATACGAAATCTTGACAACTTCAATGTTTTCTCCATTTATCAAGATGATGGTTCTTTGTCTAGTTGTGAGGATTTTCGTTTTCTTTATGTCGAGGTGTAATCCATACTGCAGAGTGTAGTCTTTAATTTTTGTCTTCACTTTCAGCAAGCAAAGTTGTATCATCTGCATCTTTAGGTTGTTAATGAGTCTTTTTCCAAACCTGATGCCACACTATTCTTCATATAGTCCAGTTTCTTGGATTATTTGCTCAACACACAGATTGAGTGAGTATGGTGTTGTTGTTGTTGTTGTTATTTGCCATTGAGTCAGCCCCGACTCCTAGCGACCCCTCCTTGGGTTTCCGAGGCAGTTATCACTACGGAAGTAGGATTGCCCAACCTTCCTTCCGAGGAGTGGCTGGTGGGTTTGAACCGCCAGCCTCCTGGTTAGCATCAAGTGCCTTAGGCACTATGCTACCAGAGTATGGTGAAAGGGTATAAACCTGACACACTCTGTTCCTGATTTTAAACCAAGTAGTATCCCCTTGTTCTATTCAAATAGCAGCCTCCTGGTCTATGTACAGGTTTCTCATGAGCACAATTAAATATTCTGGAATTTCCATTCTTCTCAATGCCATCCATATTTTGTTATGATCCTGTGTTAGATTGGGTTCTCTAGAGAAACACACACACACACACACAAAAAAAAACAAAACAGCAATGTATATATATATATATATATATAGAGAGAGAGAGAGAGAGAGAGAGAGACCTGGTATTCTTTGCACTCAGTCAAGATCCATCTGACATCAGCAGTGATATCCCTTGTTCCACGTCCTCTTCTGAATCCAGCTTGCACTTCTAGAAGTTCTATGTCAATATACTGCTGCAATAGTTCTTGAATTATCTTCAGAAAAATTTACTTGCATGTGATATTAAAGATATTATTTAATAGTTTTCACTTTATGTTGGATCACCTTTCTTTGGAATGGGTACAAATATGGGTCTCTTCCAGTCAGTTGGCCAGGTAGCTGTCTTCCAAATTTCTTGGCATAGACAAGTGAGTGCCTCCAGTGTGGCATCTGTTTGTTGAAACAACTCAATGGATATTCCTTAATTTCTGGAGCCTCATTTTTCATTAATTCCTTCAATGCCGCTTTGGCTTCTTCCTTCAATATTATTTGTTCTTGATCATATGCCCCCTCCTGACAGGGATGAACACTGATCAGTTCTTTTTAGTACAGTCTGTGTATTCCTTACATCTTCTTTTGACGCTTTCTGCTTCATTCAATATTTTTCCTGTAGAATCTTTCAAGTTTGCAACTCAAGGGCTTGAATTTTTTCTTCAGTTCTTTCAGCTTGAGAAATGCTGAGCATGTTCCCCATTTTGGTTTTCTAACTCCAGGTGTTTACATATTTCATTATAATTAACTGTGTCTTCTCAAGCTGCTCTTTGAAATCTTCTGTTCAGCTCTTTTATCTGGTCATTTCTTCCATTTACTTTAGCTACTCTCTGTTCAAGGGCAAGTTTCAGAGTCTCCTCTGACATCCATTTTGGTCTTTTCTGTCTTTTAAATGACATTTTGCTCTTTTCATGGATGATGTTCTTGATGTCTACCCACAATTCCTCTGGTTTTTGGTCATTGGTTGTCAACACATCAAATCTATTCTTTAGATGTTCTCTAAGTTCAAGAGGGATACATTCAAGGCATAGTTTGACTCCTATGGACTTGTTTTAATTGTCTCCAGCTTTAACTTGAACTTTCATATGAGCAGTTGATGCTCTGTTCCACAGTCAGCTCTTGGACTTGTTTTGGCTAAAGATATTGAGCTTCTCCATTGCCTCTTTCCACAGTGTAGCCACCGTTCATGTTTTTGAAAAAAGGTATTTGCAATAAATTAATCACTTCTCTTGCAAAATTCTACCATGCAATCTCCAGTGTCGTTTCTATCACAAATGCTAAATTGTCCAAGTAGGTGATTCTTCTTTGTTTCCAACTTTTGCATTCCAATCACCAGTAATAATCAACAGATCTTGATTGCATGTTTTGTCACTTTCAGACTGCAGAAATTGGTAAAAATCTTCAATTTCCTCATGTTGGCTTTGGTGGTTGGTGCATAAATTTGAATAATAGTAGTATTAACTGGTCTTCATTGAAGGCATATGGATATTATCCTATCACTGAAGCATTGTGCTTCAGGATAGATCTTGAAACATTCTTTGTGAGGATGAATGTCACACCATTTCTCTTTAATTTATCATTGCCAGCATAGTAGATCATATGGTTGACTGATTCAATTAGACAAAACCAGTTCATTTTAGCTCACTAATGCCTAGGTTATCAATTTTAAACATTCCTTTTTATTTTTGACAATTTCCAATATTCCTAGATTCATACTTCATACATTCCACTTTCTGATTGTTAATGGATGTTTACAGCTGTTACTTCTCATCTTGAGTGGTGCCACATCAGCAAATGTAGGTCCTGAGAGCTTTACTCTGTCTTTGTCATTAAGATTGGCTCTACTCTGAAGAGGCAGCTCTTCCCTAGTTGTACTTTTAGAGCCTTCCCACCTGAGGGGCTCATCTTTCAGCACTATATTGGACAATGTTTCAGGGCTATTCATCAAGTTTTCCAGTGATATATCAGAC